TGGATGGATGGATGGATGGATGGATGGATGGATGGATGGATGGATGGGAGGGTGGGTGGATGGATGGATGGATGGATGGATGGATGAATGAGATAGATACATAGAAATACACACATATACATATATGTATATTTATAGTGTGTATATGTATATGCTTTAATTTGCACTCAAGCTCACATTTTGGAGGTGGATTGCATGTTTCTTAATCCTGAGAATTGTGGCTCGTCGTTGTATAGATCAGCTTCCTAAGTCTTTCAAAGTTGTTTACCTTTAGGCCATTGTTATTATCATATAAAGTGTTCTGGTTCTCTCCAAACACTTTTTTTGATGGTGCACATCAATAAAGATTTTTTGAGCATGCACCCTCAATTATTTATTTTTTATGTAAATAAGTATATTTACTTATTTTGTGTGACCTTTTGTCTGCCTCAGTTTCTTCTGCAAAATGAGGATAATTCCAAGGTTATGAGGATGAAATTAAATAATATTTTTTTAAAAAAAACTTTGCAAATCTCAAAGTGCTATATAAATGCTAGCTAGTATTATTATTACTATTTATGTACAATACAAAACCTACTGAAAAATAGAAATTAAGGATGACTAAAATAAAAATGAAATAATCTTTGTGACCTAGTTAGGGCAGTGCTTTAGGAAAATCCCAAAACAGCTGGGTGGAGGCTGAATTGGGGGGCGGGGAGGAAGAAACCAATAAGGAGCCTACTGCAAATAGTCCTGGCAAGAGGTAGTGAGGTCCTGGATTAAGGTGAGTAGAAAGAAGGGAACAAAATGTGAGAGATGTGGAAGTCTGACAATTTGGCAACTGATTGGATAGAGGGGTGTGGGGTTGTGGAGGTAAAAGAGGTTACCGGAAAGCATAAGTAGAAGGTTAGTTAGGGAAGATTGGAAAGAGATGGGTGGGTTGTGTGGGAGGAATGAGATGTGTAATCCAGATTATAATCTTGCCATGCTCCAAGATCCTTGGTCGCAGTCAAAACCACAAGAGGGGAGATGGGGCTTACTGGTCACTGCCCCCAGTCGTAGCTGTGAGATGGCCTGGGAGGGAGTGGACAACTGGCACTTTCCCAGAGACAAGCAGCTGCTATGGGTAGAGGGAGGTTGGGTTAGGTTGTAACTGCTCTGAGGGACCAGCACCTGGATTGGAAGAGGAGACACTGGGAGACAGCAGAGTAGGTGTGGGAGGGGGAGGGGAGGAAGAGGAGGAGGAGGGTTGGGGGCAAGTATAAATGTCTGTCTCTAGCCTCAGTCTTTCCCTTGAGTTTCACAGTAGTCTACTGGGCATCTCAAACTCAACATATCCAAAAACCAAACCTCGTAAACCTTGCCCTTTCCCCAAATTCCCTATTTCTGCTGAAGGCACCACTATCTTTGTAGTCTGCCAGATTCATAATCTTGGCATCATCAACTCCCGACTCTCCCTCACCCCTCGAATCCAGTCACTGCCAAAACTTGTGATTTCTCCCTCCATAACCACTTCCACATCTGACCTGTTTTCTCTACTCCGGTTGTCACCACTTGATTTCAGGCCCTTCTCCATTCTTGCCTTGAGCATTACAATGTCTGTCTATCCCATCTCTGTCTCAAGTCCCTCTCCATCCCAGTTCATCCTATACAGAGCTGCCAAGGTAATTTTCCTTATGCCCAGATCTGTCCATGTCAATCCCCAACTTAGTCAATGCCCAGTGGTGTCCCATTGCCTCTAGAAATAGACATTTCACTGTTCAGCTTTTAAAGCCTTATACAACTTGGCCCCAACCTAACTCATTGGATTTTACTCCCCCCCCCCCCACCCCCAACACTCTGCTATCCAGCCAAGCTGGCTTCCTCTCTCTTTGTAACACTTGACCCTCTTTCTTTACATTGGGTGTCCCATATACTAGCATGCACTAACTGCATTCCTCATTTCCACCTTAAAGAGTTTGTCTCTTCCTTTAAGATGCCCCTCAAGATAATCAACTATAATAGACTTAGCTCCTCTCAGCAACACAATGATCAAAGACAATTCCAAAAGACTGATGATGGAAAATGCTATCCACATCCAGAGAAAGAACCAGTCTGAATGCAGATCAAAGCAGACTATTTTCACCTCTTTGTTTTTTTTTTCTTTCTCATGGTTTTCCCCTTTTGTTCTGATTCTTCTTTTACAACATGACTAATGTGGAAATATATTTAACATGATTGCACATGTGTAACCTATATCAGATTGCTTACTGTCTTGGGGGAGGAGGGGAAGGAGGAAGGGAGAGAGAAGAATTTGGAACTCAAAATCTTATAAAAATAAATGTTGAATTCCAAAAGACTCATGATGGAAAATGCTGTCCACGTCCAGGAAAAAGAAATATGGAATCTGAATGCAGATTGAAGCATAGTATTTGCTCTCTCTTTCTCCCTCTCTGTCTCTCTCGTTTCCTCTTTCTTGTGGTTTCTCCCATTGGTTCTAGTTCTTTTTTTACAATGACTATTTTATAATAACTAATGTGAAAATATGTTTAATATGAATGTATATGTAGAACCTATATCAGATTGCACACTGTCTTTGGGAGGGGGGGAGGAGAGGGAAGAGGAGACGATTTAGAACTCAAAATCTTATAGAAGTGAATGTTGAAAATTAAAAATAAATTAATTAAAATTGTTGAAAACTATCTTTACATGTAATTGAAAAAATAAAATACTATTAAGTGGGGGGGGGTGGTGGAATAAGATGTAGCTCAAGCTCCATCTTGTCTATGAAACCTTTTCTCATCCCTCCAAATACTAGTGCCCTCCCTCTCACAATATCTTGTACACATTTGTATTTATTCCCTGTATATATTTGTATCTATATTTTTCTCCCCATTGGAATGAAAGTTCATTAGGAGTTGGGATTGTTTCATTCTTTGGTTTTATTTCCCTCATGCCTACCACAGTGCCTGGCATACAGTAGGCACTTAATAAATACTTCATGACTGATGGACTAATAAAATCGCTCTCTTCCTTCAAGAGTCACCCTTTATAGGAAAAACCTTTCCTGATCCCCCAACAACTAGTGCCTTCTCTCCCAAACTACCTTGTATTTTAACTAATTTGTATGTCTTCCCTTTGTATTTATTCTGTATGTACATATTTATGGCCTGGTTGTCTCCCCCATCAGAATGTAAACATCTCTAGAGAAGGCATGGCTTCCTTCTTGGGCTTATAATCTCCAATGCCTGGCATGTACATATGTATGTATGTGTGTGTATCTATGTATATATGTGTGTGTGTATATACATAAATACACACTAAAGGCTTGATTGATTGGAAACCAGTTCCCACAAAGACCAGCAGATGGCGCCAAGAACTAAGGGAGGCCCCCACCAAGGTACATTAAGAAAATGATGTGAAAAATCAC